GATCCTTTTATGATTTTCCGTTGTATTTTTATCCTATTAATTTGGACCACATGTGAGTAGTATTGTCCAATAGACTAATGAATTTTGAAATGTGTTTTTCAAAATTAGCTTGATAGTATCTATACAATTAAGTTTTCATTTTATAGTTTTAGTGCTAATACCATAACTCTTTAATGATATTATTATTTATTTGGATTAATACTATCTTCAGTCTCTAAAATTTGACTTTATTTTGGTTTTAGCCAATAAAATTTGAAACTAGTAGTTTTATTTCCCTAAATTTTGACTTTATGATTTTAGTTCGCTTAAAGATTTTTCGTCCATAAAGCAGTGTTTTAATTCAATCCTTGAAATAGGGTTTTAAGAAACAAAGTTATTGGTTTCAAATTTCAAAGACCAAAATCAAAAAGAGGTTAAATTTAAAGAATTTGAGATAGTATTAATTAACCCTATATTTGCCCATTTATTTTTATAAAAGAACAACGATAGTAAGAGAGAATAACACTATATATTTTATAGGATAATGCGCAAAAGATTGCTGAGTTTCTTGCCTCCCATCCTCGAGTAACGAAAATAAACTATGCTGGTCTTCCTGGACATCCTGGACATGACCTACACTACTCTCAAGTATGATTTAATTTAGTTGTTGAAATTAAATTCAATATTATTAATTTTTGCTAATTAATTAATATAAGCCTAAAGTGAATTTATCCATTATTCATCGTTTTCGTTCATGTTTCATAGGCAATAGGAGCTGGATCTGTGCTTAGCTTCACAACAGGATCACTCCCACTGTCAAAGCATATAGTTGAAACTACCAAATTCTTCAGCATGACAGTTAGTTTCGGTCAGTGTTTTCTGGGAATATTAATTATTGTCATCATGTAAATTGTTAATTATCAATTACATATATTGTCATCGATTATTATTGGTCTAATATTCCTGTCTCCAAGGTCGTATATATCAACTGTGTAATAAGGAATTGTTGGAGTTTTCAAGGATAACCTTGTCAATACTTTGTTAGTATTCCCTCTAGTTCTAAATATAATAGCTGGACAAGAGATTCACTCTTTAAACCTAAATATAAGATCTCAATTTACTTTGTCTCTCAAATTTATAATTTTTTTCAAAGTATTCCAATTGATTACACATACAGAGGGAGTTTTTATCAAGGATATAATTTGACATGATTAAATATGAAATCTTAGGAAAATTAATACTACCTCCTGTCCTTAGTATGAACCTAGATAACTAATTTTAGTGATATTAAGAAAATTAGTTAAATTGGTTGTTTTTCAAAAATGTGTTTTGGTGTCCCTAAACCATCCTTTTCAATCATGTGCGTTGGATGATTGTAATTATTCCTTGAAGAGAACCTTTTACAATCAATAGAGATATTTTGGGAAAAATAGAAGATAAAATGGATTGAGATATCATATTTAGGACCAAATCCAATTCCCAACTAATTCTTATACTACCTCCCATCCTAATTATAAGACCTTATTTGTTGTCTATAAATGAGATCTTATAATTTGAACCGGAAGAAATGTTAAGGACCAGAGATAGTAAATCAAATTTTTCATAAATACTTAACTAATTTCTGAATATCCACAAATAAGTTATCTAGCTCTTATATTAATTATCAGAGATAGGTAGTAGTTGATAGACACATATATACACGTTGATCAAGTAATTTTGTGAATGATGTCTTCCTGGAAAATGCTGACTATATATATATATATATATATATATATATATATTGTGAAATGTTGTTGTTGGCAGGGGGTGTAAGTTCAGTGATATGCTTGCCTTGGTATACGTCTCATTCTAGCATTCCTGAAGAAGATCGTTTGGCCAGAGGTTTAACTGAAGACCTCGTGCGTATTTCTGTGGGGATTGAGGATGTTGATGATCTTATTGCTGATCTCCATAAAGCTCTCTCATCTGGCCCAATCTAATTGAACTTCCTATGTTAGTTAGTGTGTTTTTGGGCTAGGTTGCTTCAAATAATGTGTGTGCGCAATGGTGTGTTTTGTTGTTGTTGTTTAGTTGTACTGTATTTTTTTTTTTGGAGTGAAATATTTGAATTGTATTATTAAATGGCCATCAACGCTTCAATTTCATCATTTGGAATAAGGTTGGTGTCTTTACCTTCCTCTCTACCTTCTTGCTTAATTTAATGATTTTTAATTTATCGATGATAATTATTTAATGATGATGATGTGCTTTGCCTCATGTTGGGCTTTTTTTTCCTTTTTTGCACGCTTAGCGGAATTTTAAAATTTACATAAAACATCCAAAACCCCAAGGTTTCTACCTCTATATCAATCTTTAAGATTTTATTTCCCAGTTAATTTCATTTTTGGCGTCAGAGTTTTATGCTTGAAGTTCAAAACTGCACTGAAATAGAGATGTCACCCGTTGACTTGGAAAATTTTTTTTCATTCAGAAATAGTGTAAAATTGTTGATATATTTGAGGTTATTTTCATCTATATTTGATGGTTTTGAATTGTCAACTAATGACGTGTTATATTTAACAGTTAAGAGCTTATTTGGAATGGTGATGAGAACTTTTAAAAGGAGCATTTTAATCATAATTTTTGGAATACAATATAAATATATGAAAAAAGTCTTGTCTCAACTTACATAAAAGTCTTTATACTAAAAAGCTCCTAACGTTCAGTGTTGACCAAGATATTATTATCTTTGATCCTAATTATAAGACATTGTTTGTAGTTTATAAATAAGATCTTATAATTAAGACATGAGATAGTAATGTTTACAGTAACATTGTCTTCGGGGATAAAATTGGATCAAATATTCACTCACGTGTTTAAAAATATAAGAAATAAACAAGACACTATATTAATATTCGAGTAGTTGACAATACTGATGAGGGGTTGTCGGTGATTCCTAGTGATGAGGGGATGTGCATTTATATACTGCCTCCTCTCTTAATTATAAAACTTTATTTATATTCTATAAATGAAATCTTATAATTAAGACCGGAGGTAACTAATACTATCATCTTTTAGTTTCACTAAATTTTGTTTTATTCGGTTCATATTAAAAAATTAATTGAGTATATAATTTACTCTAAATTCATGTTTAATTTTTATATTTTTTTACTTGAAATTAAGTTAGAGTGTAGGTTGCTTAGACCTCTATAAATAGAGGAAAATTATTTTTTATTTTTTAAATAAAAAAATGTATAATCAAATAATAATACAAAGCATAATTAATAAATCCCCATATCATAGAACAAGGGCAATAGAGTTTAAAACGAAAGAAGTATTGGGCTTCTTTTGAGCTCGTAATGTTAAGTGAGTGATTTTAGGCACGTTCATGTAGTTAAGACAAAATTCTTTTCTCATATATATATATATATATATTGACTCTCTTTGGTTCATAATATAAGACGTTTCTAACGAAGTCAGACATACTAATAAAAATAGTTAAAAGTATTAAATTTGCCATAAAATTTGAGTGTTTTCCAATATCATATTAATTTTTACTCTCTCACTACTCTTATTCAACATGGACACATATGGAAGAAATATTTAATACTCATTAAAACTATTAAAATATTTTATAAAATGAACTAAAAATACCTTCTAAAAGACTTCTTATAATATGTACCGGAGGGAGTACCTTTATTCTGTAAATCACTGTTATTGAAAAGCTGATTTTAAAATTTTTTGCGGCAGTTCCAAAGTCTAAAATACATAATCCAAAGCCAGAAAAGAAATCTGTCCAAGCAAAGAGATCCTCAGCGATGACATTTGAACGGAAAAGAGAGTGCAGTGTGTTGCCACGAACTACCACCACTATTAAAACATTAAGAAAATTCTCTAAAAATATAGTATAGCAGTTTTAAATGAATTTACACTACTACAAAAATAAATTTAACGACGGTTAAAATAAGCTTTTTACGGTGGTTTTGAGACCGACGTCTATGCCATCGACGTAAAATGTAGAGGATTTCACGGCGGTTCTTAAACCGCCGTGGTATGTGACTTTTCACGGCGGTTATATAAATAATCGCCGTGGAAAATTTTTGTTTCTTTAAGCTACGTTTCATCCTACGGATCAGGAGGGAATAGGAGAACAAAGCCTCAAAGGAAGTCGCTTGCCAGTTAAAAGCATTTTGATGGAGTAAATAGAGATTCTTTCTCGCCGTAATAGCGTCACTTAGCTTCACCTTCGGCCACCAGATCGAAGCAACTAAGATTTAATAAAGATAAAATCAAAGACTCAGATCTGATAAAATCAAAGACTCAGATCTGCTAAAAATCAGATTTCTTTAAACTCAGATTAAGCATCATATTTTTAACTAAAGAAAATAATCATATCAAACCAAGAAAACTATGAAATCCACGGAAAGAATGGAGGTGAAAAACTCATAAATAAGAATGAAGAGGACGAGGTGATGGTGACAGCAACAGCAACAGTGACAGCGATGGTGATGGAAGAACATGGCGGAAATGATAGAAGCAATGGATAAACGCCGACAAATGTAGGAGGAGGGAGAAAATCGAGTGAGAATGGTAGGGGGGACCATGAGCTCTGACTTTGAAAAGTGAAAACTATCGCGCAGCGTGATGAATTTTAAAATTCTGATAAGTATTTTTTATGGAGGTTATTTAAAAAACCGCCGTTAAAAGTCCGCCTATAATTATAGAGATGCCACTGTCATATTTTTTACAATGTTTTTTCTAATAACTGCCGTAAATTAGCGTCGGGAAAACTCTTTTTTGTAGTAGTGTTATTAACAAAGAGTTAGTTTAGCGGTGTAAGACATGTTAAAATCTGAATACTAGAGGATGATATTCAAAAATGAATTTATTTAGATTTTACAAGCATATAATATCATTGATTTATACATATATACTCATTATATTATATATATATATATATTGTAACAAACATGACATAGTATAAAAGACTTTGCTATTGCTGTTAAAACTTTATGGAGTCTTCTTCTAAGAGACTTCATGTTATCAAGCCTTATTCTGTACGGTGTGAAACTAGACTTTGGAAAAATTGACTTACTCTTATTATTGATAAAAGGGATATATATACAGATAGGTCTAAGAGTATTTACATAACAAAAAATGTAACTAATTTACAACAGTATAAATTATATAACAGAATATCAACATTACACTTGACACCCCCTCGCAAGCTTGAGCAAGGATATTTTTCATGCCAAGCTTGGAAATGAGCTCATGGAAGCGTGTAGGATGAAGTGGTTTAGTGAAAACATCCGCCAACTGATCTGCAGACTTGACTGGCAGAAGGTGTATGATTTTTGCTTGTAGTTTTTCCAGAACTAGATGACAATCAAGTTCAATGTGCTTTGTCCGCTCATGAAAGGTAGGGTTAGCTGCAATTTGAAGAGTAGACTGGTTGTCACAGTATAAAGGGGCAGTAGCTAAATGAGCAACATCAAAATCAGTCAGAAGATAGAATAACCACTGAATTTCACATGTGGTGGAGGACAAAGCACGGTATTCTGCTTCAGAGGAACAACGAGATATTGTGGCCTGCTTCTTGGCTTTCTAGGAGATAAGAGATGAGCCAAGAAATATGGCAAAACCAGTTACTGATCATCTAGAATCCATGCAACTTGCCCAATTAGAATCACTGAAGCCTTTGAGTTTTAAATCAGAGACTGAAGAAAGGAATAAGCCTGCACCAGGAGAAGCCTTGATATAATGGAGGACTCTGTGTGCAGCTTAAAGGTGGGTATCTCTTGGATCAGACATGTATTGGTTGAGCTGTTGAGTGACAAAAATGAGGTCTAGACATGTTGTTATAAGGTACTGCAAGCACCCAATGAGTTTCCTGTATAGTTGAGGATTTTCTAATGGCACTCCCTTGTCTTTGGATAACTTGAGAGGAGGATCTAAAGGTGTAGAAGCCGGTTTGGAGGCCAGGTAGCCTGTGTCTTGGAGGAGTTCCAGGACAAACCTTCTTTGAGAAAGAAAAATACCCTCGTTGGAACTTGCTAGCTCAAGACCAAGGAAATACTGAAGTTCTCCAAGGTCTTTGATAGTGAAAGTCTGATCTAGCTTTAACTTAATAGAGTCGATTTCATTTATATCATTGCCAGCTAAGATAAGATCATCAACATATATGAAAATGACTGTAAAAGAAGAATTAGCATCAGTTTTGTAAAACAGGGAATGATCAGAGGAAGATTGATGTAACATCCCAAATTTTCTGACTCAAAATGAGCAAAAAAGAGAAAATTCATTAAAATTATTTAATAGCCCAATTACAATTGGGAAAAATTATGGAGTATTGATTTTCAAGGTTTAGAAATATTTTGGAAAAGTTCATTCCCCAAAAAGTGGCTTACATAATTTTAAAGCTATTTTCATAGCAAAATAGGTTATTTTCGTAGAAAATTCTAAGAAAAATATTTAGAGGCTTCTAATTAACTAGAAAATTTTAGGAAAATTATTTTATGAGGCAAAGAAGTTATTGAGGCATAAAATCCTTAAAATGAATTAACGATTAATTTATGGATTTAAGGGCTATTTTCTTCCAAAATTCAAGAAAAATAGGTAGGAGATGATTTTGACCCGAACTTTTTATAGACATTATTTTATGTGTCAAACAAGCTAATGGATAAGAAAGATCCATATAAACATGGTAGAATAATTTATGGGTTTATCTCAATATTTCAGAATTATAAAGGAAGGAAATAGATGAAGAGCAAAATGGTAATTTCCTCTTCTCACATGAATCACACGTGTGCCTCGCCCTTTTAACCATCAGATCACTTATCCACCTCCTTCGATTCGTTTCTGCTTTCCGTAGAGAATAGAGAGAGAGCGCGAGGAGAGTTAGAGACGCAGAGACGGCGACGGAGGAAGGTGAAGGCAAAGGTCGTGATCGGAGGTGCTTGGGCACATGCAAACCGATTAACTTTGCAAGGTGAAGCTCCTGATCAATCTTCCGTCTTTTTCTTTTCTCTTTTCAGTGTATTCTAGCTATAATGGAGGAGAGAGAGATGGGTTTTAGAGAGAGAAAGTAAAGGAAAGATGAAGAGAACCGGTGAACTCTTATTCCATGAGAAGACTGAAGTTGGTAGGAGTAGTTTTTGAGCTTGCATGTTCCTTTCTCTGTTTTTTTGCTGCTGTCCGAACAAGGGGTACATGTGTGGAATTGTTTAATAATGATTTTCGAGTTGCATGATTGATCTCGCTTCTGGTTATGGCTATCCAAATCTGGGTCAATGTTCACTTAAGGGGGTCCTCCATGCTGCAAGTTGTGAAGCTAGTGAGAGGTAGTAGTTTTGTGTGTGTGTGTATCCGAATGGTTGCTCTGTTTTAATTCGGCCAAACAGGAGTACATAACCTGAAGAAGTTGAAGTCAAATTCATGCATGTGTGAAAAGAGTTCTGTTCTGAATTGTAAATGACATACGAACATATAGAGGAGCTTGAGAACATAGTTTAATGGGTAGAAAGAATACTATATGAGTAGGAGATGAGTGGTTTCGATTTATAGGACCAGAAAGAGCAAAAGACGTTTTAGATAAATGTGATATATATATATATATATATATATATAATTATGTATATGTGCGTCTCGGTCATGTTTGTAGGAACTGAATTTGTATAGTTAAATGGTTTTGGGATATGGAAGTAGAAAAGTTTTAGTTTGAGGAAAATTTCCAGATTTGTCATCTAGGAGCAATTGGAGTACTTGGGTTTATATATGTATGTATGTTTGTTACCGCTGTAAGAATCAAGGATGATATTTTGTGTGTGTGTGTGTGTGTACGCCGTGAAGCTCACTGTTGGAGCTTGAATATTGAACAATTAATTCAATCGGTTAAAGCAAGTAGAAAAGCATTGAAACACTTAAATATAAAAAATGCATAAGGTAAAGAGATGGGTATATATAGGTTTATATCCGTCTGGGATACTGTGAAGTTATTTATTGAATTTTGGAACTAGAAATTGATCTAGAAGTTACTACTTTATGTGTTTAAGCTAAAAGTTAAATTGGGTAACAGTCCTAAGAGGGAATATAATCAACAATTGCTAGTGAATAATTTAGGGTGAATTTGAAATCTGGGAAATTTCCAGATTTGAAGTGGAAGCATTTAAAAGTTGACTTTGACATTGACGTAGATATGAAATAATTTTCAGAATTAAGGAGAAGGGTCCTTGTGTACTAAGATGGTGGCTAGTGTAAGAAATTGCTAAGCAGAAGGAATGGAAGAGATTGTATTGAATTAAGAGTAGAGGAAATTGAATGATAAGATTATTGTTAATCATTGGAAGAGCATGTAGAAAGTTCATACATTGAAATTTTGAGGCTTGACCGAAGGATTTATGAATTGCACTTAAATATGAGAACACTACAAAAAAACAGACTTTAGGCGGCGACAAAAAAAGTCGCCGCTGAAAGTCCACTTTCAGTGGCAACATTTTCCTCGCCACTGAAACTAAGACTTTCAGGGGCGACGAAAATGTCGCCGCTGAAAGTTCGCCATTGAAACCAAGACTTTCAGCGGCGACAAAAGTGTCGCCGCTGAAAGTGGACATTCAGCGGCGACTTTTTTTGTCGCTGCCGAAAGTGGACTTTCAGCGGCGACTTTTTTAGTCGCCGCTGAAAGTTCGCCATTGAAACCAAGACTTTCTGCGGCGACAAAAGTGTCGCCGCTGAAAGTGAACCTTCAGCGGCGACTTTTTTTGTCGCCGCCGAAAGTGGACTTTCAGCGGTGACTTTTTTAGTTGCCACTAAAAGTTTGCCATTGAAACCAAGACTTTCAGCGGCGACTTTTTTTGTCGCCGCTGAAAGTATAATATAATAATATATATTTTATTTTACAATATTAATAAACAAATTCAATCTGGCTCAGCGGCAAGAAGGTTGGACACGAAAGGAGGCGGTCACGAGTTCGAACCTGGAAGAAGACACATTTAAGGTGAAAATATTTGGACGATGACGTGGCGAGGAGGAGTGATGTGGCAATGACGTGGAGGTGGCTAGTGATGATGTGGTGGTCGGCGGTGATGATATGGCCGCCGATGGCGATGACGTGGCGGCCGGAGACGATGACGTGGCACCGACGGTGATGATGTGGCATTGGTAAAGCCAATTCTTCTTAGGCATTACTTTCAGCGGCTATAAAAAAGTCACTGCAGAAAACACTTTCGGCAGCGATACTTGTCGCCGCTGAAAGACTTTTCAGCGGCGACAAGTATCGCCGCCGAAAGTGTTTTCTGCGGTGACTTTTTTGTCGCCGCTGAAAGACTTTTTGGCGGCGACAAATGTCACCGCTGAAAGTATCTTTTAGCGGCGACCTTTTCAGTTGCCACTTAAAGTTTTCAGCCACGGCTGCTACGGCAACGACTTTTCAGCGGCGACTTGTTGCCGCAAAAAACTTTCGGCGGCGACTTTTGTACTTTCAGCGGCGACAAAAAGTCAATTTTTTTGTAGTGGAAGTAGTTGGGGTTGTAAGATGAATGGTGAAGAATGAAGGGATTGATTGAATATAATGAAAATTTAGGGATTAAATGATTGAGTTTTAGAATTTATTTAGAAAATTGTTTGAGGAATGTTAATCCTGAAGCTATAAATGCTTTATTGTTTGAGGTTTGCACATAGAATAAATAATGACTTTGTTATATAAGTTATAGTTGAAGATTGATTATATTAAGTTTTAAAGGATAGTTTTGAAGTTAGGAATAATTCCCAGATTATGAAAGGTTATTAGAGGAATCTTAGGCCAAAGATTAAAAAGATTAATAGATGGTTTGAAATTGAAATTACTTGGCTTGGAAATAAGATGGAATCAATTTGTCTATCTCAGCCATGGGTGAAAATTAGTGAAGTTGGATTTTAATTAATTTTACTTCATTAGGATTGGATGATTGAGGTATGAAGGGCACTTGGTTGTCCTTAGAAGTGATATATATGTATATATAAAATCTTTGACCGAGATGACCAGTTACTAAGTAAGGTAATACTATGGGTTGAGATAAGGAAGGAAGCATTCCAAAGAGAGTAGTTTAAATAAGAAAAATTGTCCAGGATGACCAACTATTACATAAAGGTAGAAATTAAAGAAGGTTTGGGATTTAAAGAGAGTTATTTAATTTATGAATTATAGTTGGATCAAATATTGATATACCCTTACCAATATGATAGGTTTTTATATTTGCTCAAACCTACCAAGAAGCAGAAAGAAAGGAGAACGGTAAAGTTTGATTTGGAGGGAAGTGGACCAGGTAGTAGTTTTTTCCTACCTTACATTTATGTATGATTGCTGCATGTCTGTTTGTGTCATATTGCTATTCCAAAGCATAAGAACATGTAATCTTTAATTCCTTGCATGAGTTATTAGCCGTGATCACGCGCAGCTAAAAGATATAGGGCCTTATGAGCCATTATTTGTGCGGCCTTTTGTGCCATTACAAGTGCGGCCTTATGAACCATTATTTGCGCAGCCTTATGAGCCATTGTATGTCCGGCCTTATGTGCCATTGATTGCGCATTCAGCTAATCAATCTGACTATGTGTCATTGCACTTAAATGCTTTTTATGCATAGCTTGCAAGGTTATGTTCCGTATGGCTCTTTTTGCATGCTTTATGTAATCTGCATATGTGTTTGATGGAAATTACTACTATGGGGATTCTTTAGAATCTCACCCTCCCATTCATGATGAACAGCGAAAGCTAGTAGCTTGAAGGATAAGGAGGTTGTTTAAGAAGAAGGTGAGCTGGTTGAAGAGCAGAGATGCCTACTATATTCTGTACTTATGTAGTAGAATATTTTGATAAGTTAATATTTATACTATTGTATATGTCATATGGGCAAGTAACTTTACTTGCTTTATGTAAATATTATTTTGTATCCTTCATAAGGAGGAGAGCATTGCCGAGTGCAAGTATGTACTGTTAACCAAGATGGTTACTATATTTTTAACATAATAGTATGAGATTGCACAGTATGAAATCATTCTAGGTGATAATAGATTAAGATGAAAGCATGGCTAATTGTGGATCACTCTTCAATTATTCTAAAGGTTTGACATGTTTGATTGACGGATTCTAATGTTGAAGGAAAAAAAAATTTCCTATCTTTTCCCAGGTTAGAAACCTGGCGTTAGTGCTTCACAAATTTTAAAATGATCCTATTAGTATACAGAAAGTTAGGTGTTGCAATTGATGATTTCCATAAGACAAT